CAATCACATAATGCAACTGCAAAGGCACGATACTAAATCCCAATATGGTTAGTGTGTTCCCACTATAACTCCAGAATGAATGTGAGGTGGGATGTAAAGTATGCTGTGATAGGTAACGTTCATAAAATTGGAAAGACACGTTAGTAAATGGAGAAGCAGAATCAAGTTCCATTTCCAATGGAACAGCACCTTTAACAGTAGGGAACAATACAGTACGAATGTCAGCAGCGGGAAACTTCGGTTCAACAACGGGTATGGTTACACAATCTGAAGGTATGGAGTCAGCGATGATTGAATACATATTGTCTTGAGTTGGATCGGTAACATGGCATTCCGGTGTATCATCATCTTTAATGAGCGCGACAGCCTGAGATCAACAACAGCGGGCATAGTGACCAATTTTATCACAGTTTTTACACTTGAGGGTGCGTGCGGGACAACCGGCAAAATTAGCTTTGTGAGACGTGCTCCCACAACGACAGCAAGAAAGTTTGTCTGTCGGACGTTGCCGGAAAGATTGTATTCTCGCCACCAGCTAAACTGATGAAACAAAACTGCTTCGATTGCAATGAATTTTCTGTCTTTACTCGGGCTAATTCGCAAGCTTGATCCCACGTTAGTGTGCAAGCGTCTTTCTGCAATATCCCCTCATGTATGCGATTGTCAGCGATTATAGTGATCAGTTGCTGAGTGAGCATGCACCCTTCAATCTTTTTCTGTGGAATAGACGAGTAGGCACACGGTCGTACTGCACGACTCAGTCGAGCAATGAAATCATTCAAGGGTTCGCCTGCTTCTTGGTGTATTCGGGAGAAAATACATCGCGCCGTAAACACGTTCATTTGGTAACTCCATGCAAGGTCGAGAGCATTGAAGGCGTCCATAACCGATTTGCATCCTTGGAGACCCAAATCATCGAATTGTCGCTGTCCCACATCTCCGAGTAAATGACGAAGCAGCTTCAATCTTTTATCCTCAGTAAGAGCAGTAGGGAGATCGCTGATTAAATCCAAGTAGTTTTGGAAGGATGTTTTCCAACGGAACCAGGCATCCGATGTCGGTCTGTTGCCACAATCAGTCCAAAATGGAGATGGGGGTTGGATGGAAAGGTTCATTTTTGCCTCCGCGACGCCACAGAGTATAAAATGAATTAACACTTCCACAACAGAATCGATCTCTTGTAATAGACAAAACACAAAATCTGGCTACTCACAACACTAGACCGAAAAATAGCAAAAGAAACGCACTCTGACTGTTTTTGTTTCAGCCCGTCCTTTTTAAGCGTATTTCTAGTATAAAACTTTGTCGCAACAGCACACCACCGTTGTCAAATTAGGCCATAACTGTCGCTAACGGATGACAGCAGAGGAACCAAGAGAATTGTGTGTTGCCTTGTATAAGTGTAAATTTGAAACGCTTGGCACGTTCAGGAATACGAAAAATGTTTTCTTGGAATCTGTTCTCACCATTTAATTTGCATTACTAGAACTCTCACGCGTTTCCCCCACAGACGTACTCCACTACAAATTTATTGTTCCAAGCCAGATAGAACTATTTAATTGCACTCCACACTAGAAAATTGATTCTTCCAATTTCTGCTAGCTGGCAAGTGATACGCTTGAACATATATCGGTGTAGTTTTAAGGCCTTTTATGTTAGGGTAAAATCGCATGAAAGACCAAGGTTGGATTACACCACAAGACGCGTGGCTGCAGCTTTTTCACGGTGAGCACCATCCCTCTTGCAACCACCCATGAACTACAGTCCATAAATTCTTGTATTGCTTTACCTAACTGGTGAGAGTAGACAATAACTATTTATCATTTATGATGCTTTCGATAGAGAAGAACAGTCCATGATGCATCTATCCGTTATGTGAAGTGAGTTAATTAATTGTGTCATGCAAGTACCATAGATACTCTTATTCCTGCGTATGGTAAACTTTGTGAATGTGTATGGAGAATTTGAAGTTGTGCACAAAGTATTTGAGACGTGAATAAGCCAACAAGTAAGGTGGTTATATGGTTTTCAGATAACAAGTAAAAGAAACGGAATCTATTTTCGGGAGTATAATAAGATCTAAATTCTCCTTCTTTTGGAAGACTCACCTAATTGTTCAGAATACACATCTAGCTCTGATGTTGAGCCAGTAATTATTCCCCAAATCCAATCCTGATGTGCTGTGACTGAAGTGTAAACAACCGGGCTGTGTCCGCATCTGTCTTTTTCTCCGAAGCTTGTCACTCCGGCAACGAACCAAGCTCTCGAATATGGCGACCTGCAATATAGGCCACCACCACTGTCACCGGAACAGGCACCCTACGAAAAACAAGGTTGGGAACAATGTATACTCCCATCATATGGTAATATTCTTATTCAATGATTCATCGACAGGCCGGTACAAATCATATAAGGTTAAAATACAAAGGTAAATGCACGGTGTAGCTCAATGGTTAGACAGCAGATCCTTAGTCGCCGTCTTGTACATACACGCACACACAGATCGATAAGTGTTATGTTGTCAAACAGACGACGCCGGTGTCAGAGTGACAGTTGGGTTGACTTCTGTTCGGCCAGGGTAGACTTAGCGCTTGAACAAACTTCTAATGTGAGCATATTCGGATCGCAATAGCTTCTGCTGTGGCGAGCATTCTTAGATGCAGACATTCTGACTGGTTCAAGGGTACCTGGTAAACCACAGTAAATTCGCTCAGAAGTTTAACGCTGTGCCTTGATTCGAATAGGCAGGAGAGAATTCCGCTTGCTAAAACGCCAGTGTCTCCGTTTGTCAACCATTTAAGACTATGTTTCCTAATGTGATGTGACAACTGGCGAGCTGTTCGACCTATGTATGTTGCACCACAGGTGTACTTAAGTTTATAGATAATGTATGAGGACATCAGTATCGATGGAATCAACGACAAGAATAAGCAATTTCTTATCCAATGAACACCGCAGTTCCGCAGCTGGAAAAGTGTTCCTTACTGACTGCGTCAGTTTTCCTGTTATAAGCTCCGCAACTTAGATGATCCGCTTCGACCCTGGCAATATGTTTACAAACGGACTCCGTTGGGATGGTGTGCTATGACTGAATGACATGAGGACACCAAGAAGAAAAGCCAGTAATTGTGAATAATTCTATCCTTCTATTAACGGCTTTGAATAAGTTAGCCTTATAGAATTCGAACTATATGTTAATGATCCGTTAATGCTGCAAATGCATGAAAATATCGCTTTTAATGTCCACAGCTTGCCGCAAAATGCTTATGGAAACTCTTGGAAATTGTCATTTACAAATAAGCACGTATATTTCAAAATCCGGTAAGCAAAAATTTAATGTAGTTTTTTTCTCCTCATCCCCAGTTTGCTAATAGGATTTCAACTACGCGCAAAGATTGTGCAGCACTCAGTTCCATTAACATCCAAACTGCCTTCTCTTTCTTGGTTGTGAATATCTTCTAACATGGTGAAGTCAAGTAGGGTCAAAATAAGCTTCGTCCACCCACATGAGCGCATTTTCACCAATTTGCACTAACGCTGTCGAATATACTACAAGGGGTAACAATAAGGAAGTACATATTCGCAGCAGTAAAACCAGAATTATGTATCTTCGATCAAGCACAAATTCACGGGTAGTGTTCTATTCATGATGGGTCAAATAATAAACGAAATGAGTAAGGACAGATGGAGTTGCGATACGAGGAGGTATGAGAATCACAAATATATGACTTTTGATAGTGTTTAAAAATTATTATGGCATTGGATGGTATATCAGACAAGAAGCGAGAGGTGTCATTTAGGATACTGGAAGGTATAGTAGATGTATGTCTCGGAATGTTTGGAAAAAATCAACTCTGTAAGCCCTGCTTTCTTTACGCCGGAGCAGCGATAATTACGTTTTAGCCAATGGACAAGAAGAACATGAAGATTTTGTGGAGGTACGGGAAAAATTTTTCAGGAAGGGTGAGCTAGATTATATGCATTTTCAAACTCTAGAATTAAAGCATGAGAATCGAGAAGCTTTTTGGACGCGCATACATAAAAAGAAAGTGTTCTAACTGTTTGGCGCTTTCAAGAAAATGTGTAGACAAAGATCGATAGTGAGCTAAGGAAATTTCGAGAAATTGTAAGAAAGCGAAATGACGTACGTTTTGATCATTCGTCATTATAGGATGGGAGATACGTTCAAAAGACCATAGTTTGTTGAGACGTGTGAAACAGAAATTTATGAAACAGAAATTGATAAGGGGGTTTGAGAGGGACCACGTGCTGGACCAGGTAATTAATTCATCTAACCCTCGTTAGAGAGTTTCAAAGTGCTACCGATGATTTGGGTTTGTAAACAAGATCAGATTCATCAGCAGATGTACAGCGTATGAAATTTAACGGAACAGGAAGACTTTCGACGTAGGCGAGGAATAGAAATGTGATATAGTGGCTTCGTGCAGAACCCCACAGTTGGCCAAGAGCACGGAAGATGTGCTGCCGCATCGCAGCATGAATTGCGTGTGATCAATGTACTAATCGCGCAACAAACCAAATGCATATAGAAAACCATGTTTTTCAGAATATCCTTGTGTAAATAACCTCTGAGTTTCTATATACAAATTGCATTTGCTAAAATCAGGCAATTTGTATCATCAGATATATGTTGCTTGTCATTATTCTGACTACTCTGTATGTAGAGCACATCGGCAACAGAAAATTCACAGTTAGATCTTGCACCCCTTATTCATCAGCACTTCCGTATTTTCGAAATGTATGTTGCAACTAAAACCAGCCAAACTGCCTCTACACGAAGGAGAAGCAACCATTCGCCTTGCTTAGTTCTAATCCTACATATATTTCCTACGCAGCAGCAAAACACTTGTTCAGCGGAGCCGTTACATGGGATCTAAACTCGCATAACTATTCCAAATAAAATGGATCAGTTGGAAAAGTTCGAGTAAATATTTCCGCAACAGCGATTGGCTAATTTTACAATCTAGCACTTAACTCACCTTTCCTTTCGAACCTGCGCAAAGTGTTCGCTTTTCGTCAAGATTGCCGTAGTACTTGCTGCATTCCGTAGTATTCCAAACTGTCACTCCAACCTGGCGTAATACGTCCGATGTCTGTGGTTGGGTCATGGCACCCGTCATTTGATCTATGAAACCTGCTTCACTTTGGCCCCATCCAACAGTGTAGCAATCCGTACCAAGATCCGGGACAGTGAAGTCGACTGGCATGCAAGCAACCTTCACTTTAGGATCTGTAAAATAAATCGTTTATTGTGTTTCTCAAGAATGCCACTCAATTCCTATTAGGGTACTTATATTAATTTAGACAAATGTAAAGCACAGCATTAGAGGTTTGATAGGTTCGTGTGAACGCTCCTTTTCATCACTTCGTAAGAGGATACGTAACTATCGGCAGTGCATCCATACGAAAAGGTTTCAGGTATCGGCAACTGGCACATCACAGTGATGATTATACATCGAGGGATATCATTTCGCTTAAACAAAACAAGTCATAGATAACTTCGCGAAGCGTCTCACCAACTGACCGACACCCCAAATGACATTTAGTTGTGTGCCGCAATTTGAACAAATCAGTGACTGAATGTGCTTTTCCTGAGCCATTGGTTTTTGTGTTGAATGAAATGGACAATATACCATAGAAAATAGACTACGTTTGTTGGTAAGCAAATTATTTAGCCTGAAGCAGCTCAAAATAACATAAGGAACAAACGAATCTGCAATAAGGAAAAGATACACATTTCTACATGGAACCCAACCCTATATTCATTATTACAAATAAACGTATCTAAGTCGTGAAAATATAGAGCCATTATTTTATATTCAAATGATAACAAGAAAACAATGCACACATTATTTAAACACGCAAGAAAGCACAACGCCCCATCATGCGAATCATTATTGTTGGGGTTTAACTTTTAGCATAGCCCCAAGAACACGTGAGACGCTCGTCAGCGCCAGATGTAAGTAACGTTCGCAGCCAACACAATTTCACTTGTCGGAGAAAGAACTGGATGAAAGTAGTTGTCACCAGTTATCTTAACCATATCCTTAAGATATTGCAATCGTGAATGGCGGACACCTACACCTTTGATTCTTCTGAAATATTATAATTCCTTGTATCTCACTCGCTGTTGTTACATTGTGCCAAAGTGGTTACCCAGGTTAATCATTGCATTACATGCACACAAGTTGATGAATTTCTTTTCCAAACTTGCACTGAACACATAGATTTACTACGGTTCTGCTGATATTGCATCGATGCTGTTGTGTCATTAAGTGACGTTTCTTTCCATACCTTTCTTTAGGCGTGCCAGAAGGCGTAGCACGGTGTGCTTCAGTGACCGTCTACAAGATATAAATATCCAGACTTAATGTGTAAATTGCATCTCTTCTCCTAATAATTTGGACGCAGTATACTCAGTTTTAACGTACTACAGGACGTCTTCAAATCTCAACTCAGAGATCACGATTGGCCACACCAAAGAACCATTTTTCCCTTTAGGCTCGTTGACCAAAAATCACCGGTGAACCGCAGTGGGGTATCGCAGCTAGGCCATCTTCCGCAGTGATTCTGAGCACCGTCGGGCGGCCCTATGTGCAACCTACAAGTAGCTTGCTCTACAAACCTTTCACGAACAGACCTGTGCTAATTTCGACCCATAAATGTCGTTATGAGCACGAGGTTGCATTTTTACAAATCTTGATTCGAAAGAGTTTGGAGGCCGGTGGGAAACCTTTTCCCCTTATTTGCAAAGTGTGTCTAAATAAATGATTCCAAGACTTCTCGCTTTTTGCGTATTGTCCTTGAAAACTACGTCCACCTTGCGCACCTTCTCTTCCGACTTTGGCGTCTAACACCTATGAGGATTCACATGCTCAGTGACCTCATTTTAGAAGAACAGGACTGTTTTGGAACTGCGACCACTAACTTTAAGTGACGAACATAACAAGTTAAGCGAAAAGTGTAGATGGCATACTTTTGGGTAGTGCACAAGAGTCAGCCGAAAAACAAGCCGGGGCTAGTGGCGTCGCGCAGTCTAAGCTAGTTGCCGAGCACACTGTGAAGCTTACGAACGTTCGCAGGCTCACCGATAAAAGATAAGGTAAAACTGTAGATAGAGCAATATTGCCCAGATAGATTTCGTCTGAATGAAACATGACATCCCATTGATATTACTGAACTCAAAATCCACACCGAGGAGTACACGGCATTTCAGTGTGAAGGGAATCAAGGGCGCTCACGTCGACGTACTTTGTACATAAATTCCAACCTGCGAGGTGGACTCATTTCCACGCATCATAGTGCTGGTGGTCTATGCGCGCAACTTTGGTACAAAGTAACCGTTAGAGCGAATGAACTGAATTGGGAGTCATATAATGGGGCCACATGAATACTTCCCGTGATTTCACTGACGTTGTGTAAGATCATATGAACTGCTGTAATTATGTCGCTGCGTGACTAATTTTCCGCTTGTAGATCGGTTACCATACAAAAGCCGGCCTATTTTCTTGAATCCCATTTTGAGGATATGAAAACGGGTGGATGCTGTGCAGCCCATCCAGAAGCCGACAAGACAGCTTTCGGGGCAACCTTAATTTCGCATGATCACTTTTTACGAACTGTGAGCAACCACTAGAATCTGTTAGATGATTTGAATTGCAACTCAGTAAAACAACAGCAGCTTGTAGCTTGTGGAACACGCTTAGCGGCAGCTGTGAAAGTGGCGCTCGAAAAGATATTTGCGTATTTCCAACGTAGATTAAACTCAAACGACGAATTACCTGTTTTGGAAATTTCAATTTATGAGCTTTCGACCGCCGACAAGGACCGAGCAGTAGTATATGCTTCACATTCTAGTATTCGACAACCCGGCTCCAACATTTGACTGCACCCCAAGCGATGGCAAACTGAATACCGTTACATGATTAGAGGATGGAGAGTCCTGAGATTGCTAAGTAATCTAGTTTGCTCCAAACCTTCTGATCCGGATGGCTTACCTTCTCTGCTTCTCAAATATTTGGCACGTACTTGTTTAACGCCTCTTTGGCACAAAGGGACGTTCCACAAGAATGAAAGAAAGTAATCTCACAACCATTCCCAAAAGGTGGCAGTTAAAATAGCATGGAAATTACATACCGATTTGCATACCACCAATATTGGCCAAAGTGCTGAAGAAATTTGCAATCGAGCACTGCTTGCGTTTGCAGGATTATACATTCTGCCCATGACAGTTCAACGTAGTTTCCGAGAGCATGTTCTTATACCATTAATCTTCTGAATTCCCGGTAAAGTTGGATTGAAGCAACGAACGAAGTTACCATTATTTAAGCTTTACTGATCAAGTTTCCATCGCAGTGAGGCTGGACTTTACAGTGGTACGATGTTTGATGTGCCTCAGTGACCCATTGAGCTATGCTGGGTGGTGCGTTTTTGCACCTTCAGAGCCACTCATACTAGATAGGTCAACGGTTAGAGGCTAGACGATCTCAGCCTCCTGGCTCTGCAGGTTGGGGTTTGGAATGAGGTCGGCACTTTATTCCTTAAAACAGACTCCTTGTAGCTCAACGCCAAACCCGCTGCCTTGCGGTCAAGTTTCTGAACCAAAGGCTTTGGTTGAGAACCCCATTTATTCTCTTGTCTAGGCCTGAAAACCTGACAGTGTACCGCCCACGCATTACACCATGACATTTCCTTCTAACAAGCACTTGTTGCTCTGGCCATGGCAGAGGATAATCAACGGTGCTCTATCTGCTGATTCGCCAGGCGTTTGGATGCTGTTGATCAAGACTTTCCGCTTTCTTATTCCCCCTCTTTTTTTCCTTATGGCCCCCCAGTTTGCAACCAGCTGATTCTTAGCCTCCCTCCGACATGCTTTGCTAGGTGTTTATCTTTTAGTTTTAACTCACACGCAAACGCGGAGCGTCAACCCTGTCCCGTGGACAAGCCCATATCTAACCAATCGGCCCACCGCAGTTCATCGGCTTCCATTTGGATCCCTCGATTCTCCTTCAGATTGACATGCTTCAATGTACGCGCCTTGCTAAATATCGGTCAAAAGGCAGCACTTACCCGAATTTAGAGACCCTCTCGATCGATATCTGCTGCTTATCGGAGACCCGCCTGCAAGATTCGAGGTCTGTGCTCACTCTGCGCTCCCCTACAGGTGACACCAGCAGCACTTTCTCATTGCGCCTATTCAGTGACGATACAGCTCCAAGCACCGGTCAAGCTAGTGTCGACATTGTCCTGAGTCAGCGAAATGAAACTGCTCTGGTTGATTGGATTCCCATCAGTAACCGGATGTGTGTGGTCCGATTGGCTGGCTCATTCAAATCTTCGAAGTCGCGCAGTACTAACAGGTGTCTATTCATCATCGCTGCCTACGCGCCCACAAAATGTGGGGATGGTTCGTTAAAAGACGACTTCTACCGCCTACTGACCGTGCTCTTTCGCCACAGAAGGAACACGGACATGGCTGTTTTGCCGGGGGATCTGAACGCCCAACTTGGAAGCTTGTCCACAGATGAAAAGCATCTGGGCCGTCAGCACGGTGTACGCTCTAGTAATAATAACAGTGAGCGGTTACTTCATTTGTGTGAAATTGCTTGCTTGTTTCTTACGAGCACTGATTTTCGACACAACACCCGCCGGAGGGTGAGTTGGCATCCACCAGCCTCGAACTAGCTTTGGACGCAAATCGAAAACATAGCAATCAGTTACCGCTGCAGAAGATGCGTCCAGAAGTGTCGCTCGATTTGGAGTACATGTGTGGACACGGATCATGCAATTGTATACGCTGATGTACGCATGCGATTTGGCGGAGGCCCACGACGACGCTTGAGCACAATGACACCAGCCAAGTGACGAAGCCAGCTGTGCTGAATGCCCATCAAAGTACGCTGACATGCGAGTTAAGTAAGAGCCCACTGGAGACAATTACAGGTCACTGGTCGCATGTTTCCTAGAACTTACTACCAGTAGGAGAATCCCCATGTGGTAAGTCTAATAGCCAACGTGGTCGTTGGGTCTCTTCGCGGTCTCTGGAACTTATCAATGCTAGCATGTTCCGGCTGGAAGCGAACACAATGAAACTCTAAATGATCTCTGTACAAAACGCCATGCTAGCCTGAAGAGAGAAAGAGATACTTGGTGGTGTCTTCATACATCAAAGATGGAAGTAGCCACTGGTCTTGTTAACCATCGGAACTTATTCCTTCTGATACGGGAAAC